TAACAAACTCCTGCAGACTCCACCTCCGCAACATCGCCAAAATCCGCACATTCCTAACCCCAGAAACCACTAAACAGCTCATCCACTCCCTCATCATATCACGACTCGACTACTGCAACTCCCTCCTCACTGGCCTGCCTCGCCGCTGGCTATCCCCGCTTCAGTCCATCCTGAATACGGCTGCCAGACTCATCCACCTTTCCAACCGCTCCATCTCCGCCACCCCCCTCTGCCAATCCTCCACTGGCTTCCGATTGCCCAACAGATCAAATTCAGAATCCTAACACTGACGTACAAAGCCGTCCACCATACTGCCCCGAACTACATCACTGACCTAATATCCAAGTACCGCCCAACATGCACACTCCGCTCCTCACAAGACCTCCTTCTCTCTAGTTCCCTGGTCTCCTCCTCCCATGCCCGCCTCCAGGACTTCTCCAGGGTGTCACCCATCCTCTGGAACTCCCTGCCCCAACCCATCAGATTATCACCTACTCTCCTCTACTTTAGGCGCACCCTGAAAACCCATCTCTTCAGGGAAGCCTACCCCACCCCCTGCTAACTTGCCAACCTCCTCCACTCTTCCTACCACTCCATCCCCCACAGCTATCTCCTCCTGTGCCACCATCCCCTCCCCCCTAGATTGTAAGCTCGAAAGATCAGGGCCCTCGATCCCCTCATGTTTTGCATTGTATTGGTATTGTTCTGTCACATGTTCTGTCCCCCTTTGTAATGTACAGCGCTGAGCGAACTATTGGCGCTTTATAAATACTGTATAATAATAATAATAATATCAGCCATTTCCTTTATTCCCTAGAAAACCTATTGCAAATTTTGGAGCAAAACTGTATATAGCTTAAAAATACAAATGTAATGCATGATAAAGGATTTCCAGAGCACTACGGGATAACTAAAGAGAGCGCGCGCGGGCGTGCCTGGAGACTGACTTTATTAAAATTAAACCCCCATGCCATTTGATAAGGGATGATTAATTCCTCTGACCCATACATTTGTTTGTGTGTTCATTTCAACTTGAGCCATTAAAGTGATTCTAAAAGTAATAAAAAAAAAAAATCAGACGTGATACTTGCCTACTCTGTAATGGTTTTGCACAGAGCAACCCCAATCCTATCCTGATCTTGATCCAGCGATGTGCACAAGAACAGCGGCTCTCTCTTATCTCTCCTTCCTCATTGACTCAGAGACAGCAGCGGGAGCCATTGGCTTTCACTGCTGTCAATCACAGCCATTGGGGGTCCTCTGCCGATGCTCCTGGCCACTCCCTCCCTGCCAAGTGCCCCACTTGCTATGGAGGAACACATATGGGCTCGCTCTCAAATGCGCACACAGAGCGCGTCTTGCCCCCCCTGTTGAGGCTGTGAATGACAGCAGTGGAAGCCAATGGCTCCTGCTGCTGTCTCTGAGTCAATGAGGAAGGAGAGAAAAGAGAGAGCCGCCGTTCCTGTGCACATCACTGGATCCAGATCAGGCTCAGGTAGGTATACAGGGGGCTGGGGGAATGTAGAACCTCAGAAACAAAAGGCTTTCTATATAACAAAGCATATGCCAGGAAGCATGTGAAATTGAGCTTAGAGCTCCACCTGCAGGCTGGATAGAATAATACAAACCATACATATGCAATATTTCAGAATTGCCTAAAGACAAAAAACATTTTTATCTTCATTTTTTGAGCTCTGACCATTAAATTGGTCGTAAACCCTTCCATATACCCAGTAAAGTGACTGGCCTCAGGTGATACACGGAGATGGAACAGAGCCTCCTACATAAGTTGCACCTGTTTATCTACAGCCGTCTTTTCCAATACATCCATGCAAAGTGCAGAATTTACACAGGATCTCTCAGCTCCGAAAAGTAGGGGGCGGGGAGATGAAACAGATCCTCCTACATAAGTTGTACCTGTTTATCTATAGCCGTCTTTTCCCCTACATCCATGCAAAGTGCAGAATTTACACGGGATCTCTCGGCTCTGAAAAGTAGCAGGCAGGGAGATGAAACAGATCCTCCTACATAAGTTGCACCTGTTTATCTACAGCCGTCTTTTCCAATACATCCATGCAAAGTGCAGAATTTACACAGGATCTCTCAGCTCTGAAAAGTAGGGGGCGGGGAGATGAAACAGATCCTCCTACATAAGTTGCACCTGTTTATCTACAGCCATCTTTTCCCCTACATCCATGCAAAGTGCAGAATTTAATCAGGATCTCTCAGCTCTGAAAAGTAGGGGGCGGGGAGATGAAACAGATCCTCCTACATAAGTTGCACCTGTTTATCTACAGCCGTCTTTTCCCCTACATCCATGCAAAGAGCAGAATTTACACAGGATCTCTCAGCTCTGAAAGGTAGGGGGCGGGGAGATGAAGTTACTCTAAGGCTGGCCATACATTATGCAATTTTCTGTTCAATTTCTCCCCAATATCCTTTAGATTTACCTTCAACTATGTAGCGCAAGGGTTCGCCTAATTGGCTACAACTGAAAGTGTTGTTTAGGTTTGTCCTCATATTATACGGTTTTTGTTAAATCTAAAGCAAAATTCTCACAAGAATTGTATATTATATGGCCAGACTTAGTGAGGAGAGTTCTGAGAGCTGATTGGAGGGAAGGGACACAACCCCTTCGCAAGCACACAGGAACAGAGCTGAGGCTGTCAATCACAGTCTGTGCTCTCCCGTGTCACCATTTTTCTCTTGGTGTCAGGAAAAACACATCGGAAGTGACTCATGATGATAGCAGAGGAAGGAGGCAGCGGACAGAAATGACACTTAGTGCTCTGGATTGAGACAAACAGTGGCGTCCCGAGGCAGGTGTGGCCCGCACCGGGTGACACTGACCGCACGGGGTGACACCGCACCCGCTCCACAAAAAGGTAAGCTGTAAAGCAAGCCGATGATCCCCGATCCAACTCTCCAATCTCATCCCCTCCTAGTATCATCAGCCAGTTCCCTGGTCACTCCGATCCATCCAGGAAACAAGGGACAATAATAGTGTAAATCCGCAAAGTATCTTTAAAATATACTTTAATATATCAGCTTACATGTATACAATGACAATCGCGCATTTCCAAGAAAGACTCCCCTGCCTGGGGATAGCCACGCAGCTCCTGGGTGGATGTCCTCACGATTCCCCACTCCAAGATGGCCGCCGTATTACTTCCGATTCCTGCTATTGTACGTTCCAACGTCGCAACCCTGACGCGTTTCGTCACATCCGGGACTTAATCTTAAGGGATCCCTTAGGATACTTTGCGGATTTACACTATTATTGTCCCTTGTTTCCTGGATGGATCGGAGTGACCAGGGAACTGGCTGATGATACCAGGAGGGGATGAGATTGGAGAGTGGAGACAAGGAGACTAAATTGTATCTTATAAACGCTCTTGAGATTCTGTTTTTTTGGTAAGGGTATATAATCTATAAGCATGAGAATTTAGACACCATTGTAGTGAATACACTGAGTATATCACATCACTGTTGTGACACAAGTTGCTGTGGTTGTTTTTCTCACGTTTTTGCACTTATATGAAACACGTGTGGAGTGCTATATATACTTTATTGATAATGCACTATGTGGAGTTTTTTTTTTATTTTTTTTTTGAGGATCTGAGTGAGAGCTGACTTGTGAGGATCTTCAAACAATACAAAGAGTGATTTTGAGTGGGACATTGTATTAATTTTTTCACTTTTTCATATTTTTATAATTCTTGGAATTCTATTGGACGCTGTTATATAGAGCACATATGGGATAATTTACTGATTATTTGAATTATTGTTTATGGCATTACTGAGTGAGTAGGGTTTACATCACTAGAGGGGGAGGATTCCTTGCAGATAATTATTTTTGAAGTTGTAAAGAAAGCCGACGATCCCCGCAGGATGGATCGCATCTGCGGATTGAGCATAATGGATCGGAGTCCGATCCATTTTGCTGAATCCGCAGATCCGATCCATTCTGCGGGGATCATCGGAGGGGGTGTCACCAAGTGTTATTGCACCAGGTGACACCAACCCTAGGGACGCCTCTGGAGACAAGTACACACAATAGAGGGAAATGCTTTGTTAATATGTCATGTTTGAGGTTTACAGCCACTTTAAAAAAAGTATGTACAAAACCGCTATGCATTCACTTTCAGGCTTCGTTCACATATATGCATTTTGCATTTGATGCTTTCTCCAGTGCTTATTGCAGTTTGATTTTTGACATGTTTTTTATGCATTTTTTACTGTGTGTTGTTCAGCTCTTTTATATTTTTGTTAAAGTGGAAACATTTTTTTTGTTGCCAGGCAGAATAAAAATGCAAAATGCAAAACACAAAATGCGGCAAAAACGCACTGCCATGCATTTCAGCAGCTTCTCCATTGAACACTCTTGTAGCAAAAATGCTGCTTTTTGCTTTTAGAAAAAGTCCCCGACCCTTTCCAAAAACTCAGCAGCTCAAAAAAGCAAAAATGTGAACGTGTCCCATAGGAAACCATGGTAAATGGACTGTAGGGAGTTTCTGCAAAAAGCACAAAAAAAATTCACTGGTGTGAACAGAGCCTAAATCTTTTCTGACTTGACTGCCTACCATTCAGGTCTGTTCACAACAAAGGCAGTATATTCATAAAGCAGTGAAAATGACATTATTAGAATCTGACATTATTATTATTATTATGAAGGACTTCTTTAGTGCCAACAGTTTGTGCACACTTTACAAAATTCACCAAACATCCACTGCAGGTGAAGCTTCCTGGTGCATGTGATTTAGATGACAGTCATTTACTCACATTGGTGAAAGTTTTTCGAAAGTCACTGCTTTCTAAATATGTCCCATAGTATTGGGGCTATTCACAGCACAGCAGTAAATCCGCCACAAGAATAGATGAAGCTGTGTCCAGCTACTGGCTGCAAGTGGTAAACAGGAAACAATCGTATGCAATATTATATTTATTGTTAATGTTTTCCTTATTTACTAAACCCCAGACCCTGCATTCACTATATCCAGTCTCCCAGGACCCTGCGTTTATTATATCCGGTGTCCCGGGACCCTGCATTCACTATATCTGGTCTCCCCGAACCCTGCATTCACTGTATCTGGTCTCTCCAGACCCTGCATTCACTGTATTCGGTGTCCCCGGACCCTGCATTCACTATATCTGCTCTCCCCGGACCCTGCATTCACTATAACTGGTCTCCCCGGACCCCGCATTCACTATATCTGCTCTCCCCGGACCCTGCATTCACTATATCCCGTCTCCCCGGACCCCGCATTCACTATATCTGCTCTCCCCGGACCCTGCATTCACTATATCCGCTCTCCCCGGACCCTGCATTCACTATATCTGGTCTCCCGGACCCTGCATTCACAATATCCGCTTCTCCCCGGACCCTGCATTCACTATATCTGCTCTCCCCGGACCCTGCATTCACTATATCCGCTCTCCCCGGACCCTGCATTCACTATAACCGGTCTCCCCGGACCCTGCATTCACTATATCCGCTCTCCCCGGACCCTGCATTCACTATATCCGCTCTCCCCGGACCCTACATTCACTATATCCGGTCTCCCAGGACCCTGCATTCTCTATATCCGCTCTCCCCGGACCCTGCATTCACTATATCCGCTCTCCCCGGACCCTGCATTCACTATAGCCGCTCTCCCCGGACCCTGCATTCACTATAGCCGCCCTCCCCGGACCCTGCATTCACTATAGCCGCTCTCCCCGGACCCTGCATTCACTATAGCCGCTCTCCCTGGACCCTGCATTCACTATATCCGCTCTCCCCGGACCCAGCATTCACTATATCTGGTCTTCCTGGACCCTGCATTCACTATAGCTGCTCCCCCCGGACCCCGCATTCACTATATCCGCTCTCCCCGGACCCTGCATTCACTATATCCGGTCTCCCCGGACCCTGCATTCACTATATCCGGTCTCCCCGGACCCTGCATTTACTATATCCGCTCTCCCAGGACCCTGCATTCACTATATCCGGTCTCCCTGGACCCTGCATTCACTATATCTGGTCTCCCCGGACCCTGCATTCACTATATCCGCTCTCCTCAGACCCTGCATTCACTATATCCGGTCTCCCCAGACCCTGCATTCACTATATCCGCTCTCCCGGACCCTGCATTCACTATAGCTGCTCTCCCTGGACTCTCCCAGGACCCTGCATTCACTATATCCGGTCTCCCCGGACCCTGCATTCACTATATCTGCTCTCCCCACTATTTCTCGGACCCTGCATTCACTATATCCGGTCTACTAGGACCCTGCATTCACTATGAGTATAACAAGCAGACTTTACTGCATCTACAGACTGATTGTACTGTGGGGGGTTTAGTAACACTTTACACCTAGTAACTAAGGACACCATACAGTAAACACAATAAGCACCCCATACATTTCTTTGCACGTATTGTACATGTGTTTTAGCTGGAATAGTTCAAATTGCTGAAGACGTTGCTGGATTCTGCGCTGCAACTAGAAAGCATCACAAATAATGGATTTACAATTGAACTAAATATTGTACACAACAACATGTGACTGCGAGGGACAAACAATGATCCCTCTGTAGCAATAAATCCTAATGCATTATCCGTGGCATCTTCAATAACTGGTTCGATCTGACATCTTCCACGGCGTACAGCAAACATTTCAATAAAAGCACTTACCTTTCCCGCTCTGCCTTGTTCTTGATGGATTTATCCTGGCTGATGGCTTTGCTGTTCTCCATTGAAATTTTGGCCTGGTTTGCCCTCATCTCCTTGCTTTCTCTGTGAATAGATACAAGTAGAAAATGAATCATACTGAAATAACCGATGAATAGGAAATCTAAACAGCAAATCGGTTTCTGTGCTGCAACTCGGAGGCCGATAACCATCTGACATTTTTTTTTGGCCCGGATGGCCACGGTTGTCCTCCATCGTTGGACCACTTGGTCAACGGTATGAGCTCTTGCTGGAAAACAGACATGAGCTTCAGCAAGCATGGGCAGGAAGAGTACATCATCTTCGCCAAAAGGAAAATTCAGTGGCTGCTGGGAAGGATGCAGGAAGAAGCACACAGGTGGTACTACTCCGTACCCTGCACCTTGGTGATGGTGACAGTGCGGTCACCATGCCCAGCCCAAATGTAAGCAGTGCCAGAATGTATTAGTTAACAACTTCAAGTCCGGGCACTGAGGTGTAAGTGCAACGCCTCAGTGTAAAAACATACATAAATATACATTCACATACATAGGGAAGCGTTTTTCTTGAGCTTTTCAGACGCTTTTTTTTACCGCAAAAATGCTTCACAAACTCCTTAGTGTGAGGCGACTTTCACACGGATTCCCCACAAAAACACAGCAAGAAATGCATATGCTTTCATTCACCAAACACATACGTGTTTTTGCTGCATTTTACCGTGCTTTCTGAGCATTTTTTAACCACTTCCAGTCCGGACACTTTCACCTCCTTCCAGTCCGGACACTTTCACTTTCCAGTCGGACACTTTCCCCCTTCCAGTCCGGACACTTTCACCCCCTTCCAGTCCGGACACTTTCCCCCCCTTCCAGTCCGGACACTTTCCCACCCCTTTTAGTCCGGACACATTCCCCCCCTTCCAGTCCGGACACTTTCCCACCCCTTCCAGTTCGGACCCTTTCCCCCCCTTTCCAGTCCGGACACTTTCCCACCCCTTCCAGTCCGGACACTTTCCCCCCCTTCCAGTCTGGACACTTTCCCCCCCTTCCAGTCTGGACACTTTCACCCCCTTCCAGTCTGGACACTTTCACCCCCTTCCAGTCCGGACACTTTCCCACCCCTTCCAGTCCGGACACTTTCCCCCCCTTCCAGTCCGGACACTTTCCCACCCCTTCCAGTCCGGACACTTTCCCCCCCTTCCAGTCTGGACACTTTCCCCCCTTCCAGTCTGGACCCCACCTTCAGTCTGGACACTTTCCCCCCCTTCCAGTCTGGACACTTTCCCCCCCTTCCAGTCCGCACACTTTCACCCCCTTCCAGTCCGGACACTTTCACCCCCTTCCAGTCCGGACACTTTCCCACCCCTTCCAGTCCGGACACTTTCACCCCCTTCCAGTCGGACACTTTCACCCCTTCCAGTCGGACCTTTCCCACCCCTTCCAGTCCGGACACTTTCACCCCCTTCCAGTCCGGACACTTTCACCCCCTTCCAGTCCGGACACTTTCACCCCTTCCAGTTTGGACACTTTTACCCCCCTTCCTGTCCGGACACTTTCACCCCCTTCCTGTCCGGGCCAATTTTCAGCTTTCAGCACTGTCACACTTTGAATGACAATTGCGCGGTCATGCAACACTGTACCCCATATGAATTTTTTAGCATTTTTGTTTGAGACAGATAAAGCTTTATTTTGGTGGTATTTATTCTGGGATTTTTATTTTTTTTTGCTATGTAATTGAAAAAGTCCAAAATTTTGAAAAAAAGTGATTTTCTTATAAAATTTTGCAAATAAATAATATTTCATCATAAATCTTCGCCAAAATTTATTCTGTTATCTTTTTAGTAAACAAAAAAATAACCCAAATTAGTGTTATAACCAAAAAATTATAATTTTTAAACTTTTTTTTTTTTTTTACATTTTATTTATTTATTTTTTTATATTATTTATTTTATATATATATATATATATATATATATATTTTTTTTTTTCTACATACGGTCACCTAGCAGTACAGTGTCACCATGGTGACAATGTACTACTTGTGGGGGGTGATGAAGATTTTTTTTTTTTTTTAACACTGATTGCTTTTATACCCTTAAAGGCTGTAAAAGCAATCATTTCTCCTTCTCTCTGGCTGAATTCTTGCAGCCATTGAGAACTACTGTGTGAGCTGTGATTGGTCACAGCTTGTCACATGGTACAAGGCTGTTGTGAATGGCCCTGTACCATATGACCTCTGTGATCATTCACAGATTTCACACGTAGTAAGCAATGATGTCAGAAGTGACATCTTGCTTACTACTCTGCATGTGATCACTGATTGGCCAATCAGTGATCACATGATCGGGACCTCGCACAGAGGTCCCGTACAACGATTGGTGTTCCACTGTGTCCGGAGGACACAGCGGGCACCGGATCGCGGTGCTGTGCGCTCCCATGCAGCGTGCACAAGCAGGCGGCGGGGAGGCCGTTTATAAACTGCCACCCGCCCCTGCACTGCCACCATCCGGCCGGACGGGAGGTGGTTAACCATTTGACCTCCGGAAGATTTACCCCCCTTCCTGACCAGCTAATTTTTTGCGATACGGCATTGCGTTACTTTAAATTGACAATTGCGCGGTCATGCAACGCTGTACATATATGTCATTTTTTTTCGGCCCCAAAATTTTTAGGTGTCCTCCACTCACCGGTCATGAGAGAGTTTCAGTTGCTGTGTCTGTTGTTCTTGGGACGGAAATCAGCAGTTTTTTGAGGAGCTCACATTGCTGACTCAGGTGGAGGTCCCGGAGTTCCCTGTTCTTCAGCGCTGTGTGTGCTAATCAGATCGGACCACTCCTTTGTATGCTGAGCCACGATATCTTTTACCTGGCAGGAAAAGATGCATGACCGGTTAATCGCATACAGAAATTACAATAGCCGTACTATAACTCCGGAGCCAACTGTTGGGAAATCAGTTACAGTTAGGGAGCCCAAAACATTTTTACAGTAATTCTCACATTTTTACAGTTATCCAGCTTCAAAAGACGCAAGTCCATCTAGTTCAATCAATAGAAAACCTCCCTATACACGATCCTATACCCACAGTTGATCCAGAGGAAGGCAAAAAAAAAAAATGGTTAAAGTCAATGGAGACCAGACCGATCCTGTCTGAAGCCTCACATTTGTAGGACATTCCAACTGGTGTGGATATGAGATAGGCGAAGATACAATCCTGTACCCATGGTGAATCCAAGGGAAGGCAAAAAAAAACCCCCTATGAAGCATGGTCCAATTTGCTCTTGCGGTGGAGGGGGGGGGGGGTAATATTCCCTCCTGATCCCCCAGATAGCATACAGATATCATTGCTGGTGTTATTACTTGCAAATGTTAATATTCAGTTATATTTTGTGCATTTAAGAATCATCCAGCTCTTGTTTAAAACAATCTACTGAGCTGGCCAGAACCAGTTTCTGAGGAAGTCTGTTCCACATTTTCACCGCTCTTACTGTGAAGAAGCCTTTCTGTATGTGGAGGTTAAAACTTCCTCCAGGTGTAAAGACTGCCCACCTGTCCTCTGTGTTGACCTGAAAGTAAATAACTCTACACCAAGTTCACTATATGGCCCACTTATGTATTTATAGCTGGTGATCATATCCCCCCTTATGTATTATACATGGAGATCATATCCCCCTTATGTATTATACATGGAGATCATATCCCCCCTTATGTATTATACATGGAGATCATATCCCCCCTTATGTATTATACATGGAGATCATACCCCCCCCTTATGTATTATACATGGAG